GGTGGGTAAGCATTGTAAATGGAGTAACACCATGAACACAGAGGAGGAGGAGGTATAAGAAAATTTCAGAGAAGAGTGTTGCAGAGTCTGAGACAGGGGGCCAATGGCAATTGAGGGGCAGCCAAAGCCAGCCATCTCTTGGAGGGCAGTCTAGGGAGACTATCATGACAAACACCACTAGCAGTTGAAAATGACCACACCTAGGCTCCCTTGATTGTATTGGAGTCCTGATTACAGATAATGTTTATTGAGCACTAACTACATGCCAGACACTTCAGCATTTAATTCCCCTAAGCATTTAATGTAACTAATTTAATCCCCACAAACAACTGTACTAGGTACGTTCTATCATTACCCCTGGTTTACAGATGAAGAAAACACAGCACAGTAGGCTGACATTTTTTGTGATCTCTCCATATTCCATGACCTGTTTTCATTTTATGGCCCTGACTCATGTTCCCACAATATATTTAGTAGATAGTGAATTACACAGTTAAAACAGATATGTACCATGTTGGGGTAGGGTAGAGTTGGGTACCTTGAAATCAGGTCAGCTAAAAATCAAAGAGCAAAGGATTTTGAACTTTTTTTTCCCCCTGCAGGTATAAGGAATTTACTGAGATTTTTGAGCAGGGAGTGGCATGATGAATATTTTTTGTACAACTGATCTGGAAAGATGGGCAGGATGAATTGAGGGTAGGTGAGGGTAGGAGGTAAATGTGATACCAGCCGACCAGTTAGGAAGCTAATGCAATAATCTACAGATGACGTGATAAAAAGCTAGGTCAGGCTCTTTTTCATGGCACTTTGGAGGCAATCAGCTGTTTCAGGATGAAGCTGAACATCTCTTTCCCAGTCACTAGCTGCCAGAAACTCATTGAAGTAGGTGATGAATGCAAACTTTGTACCTTTCATGAGAAGCATATGGCCACAGAAGTTGCTGTTGATGCTCTGGGTGAAGAAACGAAGGGTTATATGGTTTGAATCAGTGGTGGGAATGACAAAAAAATTTCCTCAAGAAGCAGGGCATCTTGACCCATGGTCATGTTCATTTGCTACTGATTAAGGGGCATTCCTGTTGTAGACCAAGGCGGACTGGAGAAAGAAAGCGCAAATCTGTGTGGAGTTGCATTGTGGAGGCCAATCTGAGTGTTCTCAATGGGCATTATAAAACAGAGAAAGATATTCCTGCTCTCAGTCTGCCAATGTGCTGTGAGAAAGCCACTGAACAAAGAAGGAACCTAGGACCAAAGCACCCAAGATTCAGAGTCTTGTTATTCCATGCATCCTGAGACACAAACATCGCCACATTGCTCTGAAGAAACAGCATACTAAGAAAAATAAGGACAAGGCCTCAGAATATGCCAAACTTTTGGCCAAGAGAATGAAGGAAGCCAAAGAAAAATGCCAGGAACAGATTGCTGAGAGACGCAGTCTGTCCTCTCTGGGAGCTTCTATCTCTGAGTCTGAGTCCTGTCAAAAACGAGATTTTCTAAGAGAAACAAATAAGATCAGACATCAAAAAATACAAAAAATAAATAAGTCCTGGTGGTTATAGTAGTAACAGAGAGGGCACAGATGCAGGAGTCATTATGAAGGCCTGGTGACTAGAGCGTGAGCGTGAGTGACTGAGCGGGCCACAGGAGGTCTGCGGGATAATCCTGCTAAGGAGAGGTGAGGAATTTCACCTTAGCTTTTTTTTTTGAGTTTGGGGATATTGATTTATTTCAGCCTGGGATGTGTAATTGTATTTGACAATTTTAAAACTTTATTTTCAATACTTTTTTTTTTGAGATGGGCGGCAGTATTTATCTCTATATTTAAATTTCACATTAATCCTTTACCTGGTAGAATTATATTGACTTATTATAATAAATAATATAATGTTATTTTTATTATAAATATATAATTATTAATGTTATTTTTTTACTGTAGGTTAGACCAGGATGAAGAGGGCAAGACCAAGCAGAAATGTATCATATCTGACCCCTCCTTTTCCATGGTAACAGTTCAACGGGAAGATAGTGGAATAACCTGGGAGACGAATTCAAGTCGGTCTTCCACTCCTTGGGCTTCGGAGGAAAGTCAGACTTCTGGCGTGTGTAGTATGGAAGGGTCGACTATGAATTCTTCTGCAGGGAATGTTTCCTTTATCGTGGATGAAGTTAAAAAGGTTCGGAAAAGAAGGCCTAAGTCAAAGCATGGCTCACCATTGTTGCGTCGGAAAGGCAACAAAAAAAGAAATTCTCTTGAATCCCAAGATGTTCCAGCAAACAAAAAAGATAATCCTTTAATTTCTGAAAGCCAGGCACTAAATATCCAGAAAGATAAGTCACCGATTGGCAATTATGATAAAATGAGAAAAAAGACCACTTCAAATATACCTCCTATTACTGGAGCAATATACAAAGAACACAAGCCATTAGTGTTACGGCCAGTCTACATAGGAACAGTACAATATAAAATTAAGATGTTTAATTCAGTAAAAGAAGAATTGATTCCTCTACAATTTTATGGAACATTGCCAAAGGGTTACGTAATTAAAGAAATACATTATAGGAAGGGGAAAGAATCATCCATTAGTCTAGAGCCAGATTTGGGCAATCATGATTCTAATATAGTTTCCAGAGCAGGCAAATTAGTCGCCCAAAGCATAGAAGATGATAAAGGAAAAGAGCTTGCTTCACCTTGGGGAGGTGTACGCTCCAAAGGATCAAAGTCCCTCACCTCCTCATTGATTCGTGAAGATAAAAAGAAAAATTATGTTGGTTCTCCTCTAAAGGCTGCATCTGCCACCAAGCACACAGTTTCCTCTTATTCAAGTAATGACACAGCAGAACAAAAAGCACAGCTCAACCCTCCACAGTCAGTGCCACAGCAGCCAGCCGATGAAGCCAAACCCCGGGAAATGGAGCCTTCTTCTCTTACTCCCGCTACATTTGCAACTACGTTCCTGGAAACAGCAAAGGAAGAATTTGAGCCTGATTCTCAAGAAACTGTAACTTCAGAGCATGAATCTTCAGTCACACCATCTTTAGTGGATAACATAAAGAAGGAAGAAGACATCTATTCCGCTGACCATTCCATTTCACTGGAGGCAAAGAAGGATTCTATGGAAACAGGTTCGCCAGGTCTGGCAGCATCTATCCAGGAAGATTTTGGCCCAGAGAGAGAAGAACTGGACCTGACGTCACTAGAAAGGGCAGAACCAGTTTCTGAACAACTGATCCCTCCTCAGCTCGATGTCAAAGGAGAGAAGGAAGAAAGCATGCCTGAGCCATCCATTTCTCCTTCTGAGCCACTAGTGTTAGAGGAAGTAGAGAAAGAAGGAATAGAAACTTCTCTACCAACAGCTGCTACCCCTGAACCTGAAGATTCTAATTTAGTGGAAGAAGAGGTCATAGAACTTGATTACCCAGAAAGTCCATCAGTTTCTGAGGAGTCCTTCTCACCACGTTTGGCCCCTGAGGTGGAGCAGAAAGAAGAGGAGACCATTCCACCATTACGGATAACATCCACACCTGAACAGGTTGCTTTGTCTGACGAAGAACGAGAGGAAAATGAGTCTGTCTCTACTGATTCTGCTTTCCTATCAGAGTATTCAGTCCCACAGGATATGAACCATGAACTAGAGAAGGAAGAAATTGAGCCAGTTTCTCCATTCACTGTACCTGAACATGCAGTTTTGTCAGAAGAGGAGAATGAGGAATTTGAGGCTCAGTCCCCAGCTTCGGCCTCTGCATCTGAAAACTCTTTCTCATCCTCCATAACTGAGAAGACTCCTGAGTGCCAGTCACCGCTGTTTTCAACAGTTACATCGGAACACGTGGTCCTGTCCAGAGAAGAAGCCTCAGAAAGTGGGCGTGACACAACAGATTCCACATCTGCTTCTGAATATTCAGTTCCATCACAGGCAACAAAAGAGCCACTGAAGAAAACTGACCACAAGCCTCCATTAAAATCAAAAGCTGTTTCTGAGCACATGATTCTGTCAGAAGAAGAGGAGGAAGACACTGGGCCATATTCCCCAGAGGTGGCCCCTGTGTCTGAACACTCTCTCCCCTCACGCACACCTGAGATGACTTCTGAGCGCCAATCACCACCGCTTTCAACGGCTGCATCGGATCATGCAGTGCTATCAGAAGAGGACCTAGGAAGTGAGCGTTTCACGCCAGATTCAACACTGACTTCCCAATATGCAGTTCCACCAAAAGTAACACAGGAATTTAAAAAGAAAATAATTGATGATGTGTCCCCATTAAAATCAAAAGCTGTTTCTGAGCACATGATTCTGTCAGAAGAGGAGGAAGACACTGGGTCATATTCCCCAGAGGTGGCTTCTGTGTCTGAACACTCTCTCCCCCCACGCACAACTGAGATGACTCCTGAATACCAAGCCCCACCACTTTCAGCCACCCCTTCTGAATCTGTGGTCCCATCAGCAGAAGAGACAGTAGAAATGGAGCGGTACACACCCTCTTCCACCTCTGTTTCTGAATTTTCAGTACCACCATGTGCAACACCGGAATCACAGGAGGAAGAAATTGGCCACAGAGCTCCTTTAAATCTAAAGGGTCCCTCCTCACCCGTGAGTTTCTCAGAAGAAGAGCAAGAAGACATTGGACCTTTTTCTCCAGACTCTGCATTTATGTCAGAATTTTCATTCTCACCCTATGCAACTCAGGAAACAGAGAAAAGAGAATTTGAGTCCGATTCTCCAATATGTTTAACATCACCATCTGACCACACTATTTTGTCAGATGAAGACACTGAAGAAGCTGAACTTTTTTCTCCAGACTCAGCATCACAAAGTTCACTCCCACCCTATAAAATCCCAGAAACAAAGAAAACTGAAATTGAGCCTGATTTACTGTTAACTGCAATATCTGCTCCAGGATATTTCTGCTTTTCAGAAGCCAATGAGGAAGAAGTTGAATCAACAGCTTCTACACCTGTACCTGAGCATCTCAGTTCATCACAGAAGCAACAAGATGAACCTTCCCATCTGACGTCTGCACCTGAAGACTTGAGTCTGTCACCTGCAACAAATAAAGCAGAGGCAGCAGATGCTCCAACAACTTCAGCGTCTGTATCTGAATATCTCCTTTTAGCACAGAAGCAGGAAACTCAAGCATTTTTAGAACCTAAGTCTGAAAATTTGATTCCACCATATTTAACCAGTGAATCAGGGAAGGGAGAAACTAAGACTAGTTCATCAGTAGCTACAACACCTGTTTCTTTACCTGCGCAACCATCCACAGTAAAGGAAGAAACCAAACCTGTTTTGCCTACATCTCAGGATTCAGTTTCACTTGATTCGGTCCATGCACTTAAGAAAGAACAAGAACCCAAAGCATTGCTCACTCCAAAAGCTGCAAATGAACAGATGGCTTCGTTAAAAGTTAAAAGTAAGGAAGAAATTGTGCCCGACTCTCAAGAAGCTACAGTACATGTATCACAGGATCAAGAAATGGAGCCTCAGCCTCCAAATGTTCCAGGATCTGGGATGAAATATTCAGTTCTGCCTGACTTGGTAGATGAGCCAAAGAAGGATGTCAAGCCCAATTTAGCTCCAACTGTGACATCTGAACTAGAACAGAGAAAGTTGTCAGGGAACGAGCCTGAAGTAATAAAGCCATATTCACCTGTAAAAGAAACATCTCCATCTGGACCTGAGATTTTATCAGTAGTGAAAACAGAAGTGACACATGATTCTAAAATAACTGGTACACCTAAAGTGCTGCACTCACCTTCACTGGAAGTGGAAAAGGGAGTTGAACATAGACCATCTGTACCAGAATTTTCAGCTTTGTCTGAAAAAATAAAGAAAGAAATTGAACCCAGTTCTTCAATAACCACAACATCTGTAACTAAGCATGATTCAAGCTTAACCAAATTAGCAAAAGAAGAAATCCCAACAGAGTTATCTCTTACCACTTCTACGGAACATCCAGCCTTAACAAAAGTAGGAAAGAGTGAATTAGAAAGTGGTTTGCCACCCCTGGTAACATCTATAGATGAGCATTCACTTCTTAAAGAAGAAGAAAAGGTAGCAATTAAAGCTATTTCTTCTCCCACTGAAACTGCTGCATCCAAACATCCAGCTTGGTCTGAAGCAGAGAAGGAAATTAAATTTGATTCACCTCCAAGCATATCCTCTATACCAGAGCATCCTATTTTGTCAAAGGCAAAAACTGAAGACGTTCCACTTGGCTTGCCAAAAACCCAAACACTGTCTTCTCAGCAGGCAGATGCATCTAAGGAAGCACGGGTAGAAAATGAACAAGGTCTTTCATTTTCTACAGCCCTCAACTCTGAGCGTTTGGTTTTATCACAGAAAAAGAATTCTGTGTCTGCCTCAGAGGTGTCAGGGCCTGAACATGTGCTTTCACCCAACCTAGGTGATGAGATACAGAAAAAAGAAAATGAACTTCTTTTCTCACAAAACGTGTCACCTGCTCCCAAACATATAGTTCCAAAAGGCAAAAATGAGAAGATGGCAAGTTCTTCTCTCGAGCTGGACAATTTAGAGCCAGATGACTTAGCTCTGACATTACCAACCTTGGATCATGATAAGAACAAACAGGCAATTGAGATATCTTCTACAGCTCAGGGAGATTTCCCATCAGAAAAACAAGATCTTGGTCTGACAGAGCTCTCTTTGGGACCAGAGAAGAGAGACAAGCCACACCAAGTATCAGAATTACCAAATACTGGGTTGGAATTCACTAGTGGTTTAGGTAGGCAAAGTGGATCTATAGATACCAAACAAATACAATCTCCTACAACTGAAACAGGGGATTCTGTCTTAGAAAAGAGCTTTGCTGAGCTTAGGAGCAGAGAAGAAGGAAAAGAAGAAAACAGGGAACTTCATGGGTCAACTATAGTGCCTGAAATCCCAGAGGTTTCCTCATTCTTTAAGGAGGAACCTGAGAATCAAGAAATTCAATCTATCTCTCCTAAGGTAGTCAGCTTAGAATCAAAAAAACCATTTACTTCTCTAGTTGAAGGAGACAACCAAGAAGAACTTCAGCCATATACTTTTGCTTTAAAAGGATTATCAGAAGAGTTGAACCATTCAGCTGATTTTGAAAGGGGGGAAAAACAAGAAATAAGCTTATTATCGCCAACAGGAAATTTGAAGGCACAAGAAACAGGAGATACTGTAACTACACTAAATGAAGAAACAGACCAACCAGATTCATTCCCTGTACCCCTGAGTATAACCAAACCATCAGAGATTGCTTCTTCTGACCTCCTCATAGAACAAGAGAAGCCTGAAAAAACACTTCATTCCGATCAGGCTGTTCAGTTACCTGATGAAAGCACATCTTTTGTGGATAAAAAAGAGCTGGGTATTAAACAACTTTCAATTATGAAAGATAATTTGCCTTTGGAAGAATCAAAATCATTTATGACAATTGAGTCTGCAGATGTTAAAGAAACACAAATGAAAGAGGCCCTGATTTCTCCAAAGGATGAAAACTGGATGCCGGAAAAGCCAGAAAGTGATTTGGCAAGTCATCATGAAGAAAGAGCACTGGGACCTATGCCGCTGGCTTCCTCCAGCATCAGGGATCTGAGGGAAGGGCAGCTCAAAGCTACTCTGTCAGACAAAGACCATACTTATGAAATCGGAAAGCAGGTTCTGCCACATTCTGCTGAAAAACCTCATTTATCAGTACAAGAACCAGTATCTAGTCTTGATATCTCCAGTGGTGATGTAGAGACCGTATCAGCGAAAACTCCTGAAGAAATAAAGCTGGCCCCCAAACCAAAATCTTTAGTTCCCGCTGGGAATGTACAGAGAAGTGAAGCAGAGAGGAAGCAGATACTTTCTTTCGTGGAAAGTAGTTCAATATTGGAGAAAGCAAGCACAGAATTTTCTAGGCCTAGCAAAGAAGACAACCGGGAAGAAACCAAACTACCTTCTGAGAGAATCCTCCAGAAACCAGTGTCTGGCCCATCAGCGGAACAGGTCAAATCAGAAATGATTCTCTCCCCTGCCAAAGAAGCCCATTTCCTGGCAGAAGATATAGAACCTGCTGCGCTGGGCAATAGAAAAGAAGCACACAGGAGTATATCTCCTTTACCTGGAGAGAAGCCATTAGAAGAATCAAAAATGATTCAGTCAAAGGTTGTAGAGGATGCTAATGAGAGAGGGAAACCAACATCTGAAGTGAAAATACCCACACAAATAAAACCTCTCTCCTCAATCCAAGAAAAGGAAGCACTTCAACCCCCAGAATCATCTGAGGTGACACAAAAGCTGCCTAAGCAGCCAAAGACAGTTAAACCAGGACTTTCTGAGGAAAAGGGAAAGAAAGGAATTTCATCTTTTACGTCGTGGATGTCCAATTTGTTTTTTAGATCAAGCACTACAGATAAAGTTGCTGAAAAAGAAGATTTAGAAACTCAGCCAAGTCCATCTGAAGAAAAAGCAGTGACTGTGACAGAGCCTAAATGTATAGCTCCAGATGACTTTAATGCAACTGAGAAAGCAGCTGACCATCTGTTGCCAGAGACAAAACTTACACCTGCTGAAGAATCCAGAGGTGCTTTGGTTAAATCTGGTGAAGGCCAAGACTTTAAAGAAAAACCTACACTTTTATCAAATGTAGATTTACAACAGCCAAAATCCAAATTTGAAGTGTCCAGTGAAGATCATGGCAAAAAAGAAACCCTAGACTATTCAGAAGAAATGGACCTAAACTCAGTAGTTACTCCTGCTGGTGAGGAACATCTTGGAATTCAATCTTCTTCTCCCACGGGTGAGAAATCCATTATGGAAGAAGCCAAAAACGCTGTTCCTCTTCATGTCACTGATAGTAAAAGAGCCCAGAAGCCAGAAATCTCTCTTCCATCTAAATGGAATATTTCTATTGTTGAGGAAGAGCCAAGAACTTATCAAAAAGAAAAATCACTCTTTTCATTTGATGCAGTAGATAAGGTGCCACAGCAGCCCAAATCAGCTTCACCTAGCTTCACAAGTAAAAGTACCATGAAGCTATCAGAGAAGCCAGAGCCAATACTTTTGCCCGTAGAAGACTATAAAGGCAGTCTAATCGATCGTGGTGAAGACGGACTAAAGAAAGAAATGTCCAAACCTACTTCCTTGAACATTTCTGAAGAGGAAATAAAACTCAGGCCTGTTAGCCCAACTGAGGAGAAAGAGAACTGGGAAAAAGGATCATATTTTTTGGCAGAAAAGATGATGCTGGCAGAAAAACAAGAAACTGTGGCCCCATTAGAGCTAGGAGATAATAATGAAATTGGAAAGGCACAAATTACACATAGATCTAGCCCTCTTAAATCGGAAGAATCAAAAGCTGCTGCTGTGCTGCAGCAAGTTTATCACAATGAAGACCACAAAGAAAGACACAAAATTATTGAGGAGGAGAAAGGAGAAGAAAAAGCAAAGCAGTCACAGGTATTTTCAGAAGGAGAAAAGCAGCAGGAAATTCAGCCTCGTTCTGTGAAGGTAGCCAGGTCTATACCTGAAGAATCAGATAGTTCTTTAAGCAATTCTTTGGGTAAAACTCCACCATTTTCATTAGTTAAAACTATGTCAATTACTGAAAAATCAGAAAGTCACAGTAAAGAAAAGGGACAGATCACAGTGTCAGAGCTGTCCAAAGGTGGTTCAATAGATATCACAAAAGAAAGGATGAAACAAGGATCTCCATCTAAAGAACCCGAAAGGATTTTAGATCGTCCTGTGGATGAAACAAAGACCTTAGAAACACCGTCATATTTGTTATCTGCGAAACCACAAACACTTGATTCAGGGGCTTCTCCAGAAATTAGTACAGTAATGAGCAAAGAAATTAGTACAGTGAAGAGAGAAGAATTGACTCCAGATAGGCCTACAGTCCATACTATTCAAACATCTAAAGAGCAAATAGCCGAAACGCCTGTTCTTTCAAAGCACCACTTGGAGGCTATAGAATCAGTTTCTGTGAAGGAACCACCCTCTTTAGCAAGCAGCAATTATGCGCAATTCATAAGAAATGCATCAACAACCAATGCCGATAAAATCAGTGCCGATACTAGAGAAATATCCAAGGAGCCTGAAGAAGGTGAAGAATTTAAAATGACTAGCAAGCCAGCTGGACTTTCCGAAGATCAAAAAAGTGCCTTCAGTATCATTTCTGAAGGCTGTGAGATATTGAATATTCATGCTCCTGCATTTATTTCTTCAGTGGATCAGGAAGAAAGTGAACAAATGCAAGATAAGTTAGAATATCTGGAAGAGAAGGCCTCATTTAAAACTCTACCTCTGCACGATAGTGAGGCAGTTGCTTACCATACAACATTAAAGGGTAACTTAGAAGATTCTGATAAAAAAGTTACATCATTGAAAGAAAATAACCAAAAGGAAACTCATAAAACAAAAGAGATATCCACAGATTCAGAACCTGGTGATTTGGCCTTTAATCAGCCCACAATTCCCAGTGAAGAAGATTATTTTGAAAAATATACATTGATTGATTATAATATCTCCCCAGATCCAGAAAAACAGAAAGTTCTATCGAAATTAAATGTTGAAGCGGAACTCTCAAAGGACATTCCCAAAGAAACGACCTCTTTCCCAGAAAGTTCAGAGGAAAGTGCCCTGGAATGTGGGTATGACTTGGTGGAATTAGATGAAAGTTTTTATGGACCAGAAAAGGACTACAACAAGTTATCTCACCTAGAGACCCAAAAGTCTTTGGTTATCCAAAAATCATCTGACAGAGATGCTCCAGAGAGTGCAAACAGAGATGTGGACTCAAAGTCACCTGGGATGCCTTTATTTGATGCAGAGGAAGGAGTTTTGTCACGAACCCAGATATTTCCTACCACTGCTAAACCCATTAACCCTGAACTTCTGGAGGAGCCACCTGCGCTTGGATTTTTATACAAGGATCTGTATGAAGAAGCAGTTGGAGAGAAAAAGAAGGAAGGAGAGACAGCTTCTGAAGGTGACAGCATGAATTCTGAGGCATCGTTTCCAAGCAGAAAGTCTGATACTGATGATGGAACGGGAATATATTTTGAGAAGTACATACTCAAAGATGACATTCTCCATGACACATCTGTAACTGAAAAGGACCAATGCCAAGGTCTAGAAGAAAAAACAGTTGGTAAGGATGATTCATACCAGCCAATGGCAGCAGAAGGGGAAGTTTGGGGGAGGTTTGGAACCGTTCTTGGGGAAAAGAGTGTGGAAGAGGAACAGAAAGCTGCTTACAGGGAAGGAGAACCAGGAGGCCATGTGGAGACCTTTGACAATGTAGCTACGCATGAGAAAGCTCCCATTACTGAGGAAGTCAGAGTGGTTACCCAGAAGGTAAGCTACGCAGTTCCATTTGAAGACACCCATCATGTTCTGGAGAGAGTAGATGAAGCAAGTAATCAGAGTAATGAAGCAGTCAGTGCAAATCCCGAGGTCAATGTGAATGTCCCAATACAAGTGTCCTTCCCAGAGGAAGAATTTGCATCTGGTGCTGCTTGTGTTCAGGAAACGCTGCAAGAAGCACCTACCGTAATGGTCTCACCTGAGCCAAGTGAAGCTAGGCTCCGCAATAGCCCTATTCAGGATGAGTATGAATTTGCCGAATCCATGAATTATGAAGTGGTTACTCAAGACACTTTATCGGAAGAACTGTTTTCAGAATCTACCCCTGAAGATGTGTCATCTCAAGGAAAGGAATCCTTTGAACACATCAGTGAAAATGAATTTGTAAGTGAGGTGGAGCAAAGTATGTCTGCTGAACAGAAAGAGTTGGACAGAAAGAGGACAGAAGAGGACCAGCTATCATCAGAGTTAGTTGCTGAGAAGGAACAAAAGGAACCGAAAAAGTCGCAGGTTGACTCATATTGCTACACTTGCAAAAGCCCAATTTCTGCTGTTGACAAGATGTTTGACACCCACAAAGACCATGAGGTTTCAACGCTTGATACAGCTATAAGTGCTGTAAAGGTAAATACATTAATTTTTTTCAATTTTCTCAATTTAAAAAATGACCAATATTTAATACATTCATTTTTAGGCATAATAGTCTGAAGAAAACTAAGACTATTTCACCAGGCATTTAGTTAAGATCAGTTGACAAACATTTATTGGATATACACTATGTGCCAAGTATTTTTCTAGGTTCTGGGAATACCAGGATAAATAATAGAGGGTTGGTTAATACCTTTGAGGGGTCTTATCTTACAGCAGTAGCCCTTAACATTATCCATAAAAGCCAAATAATTTAAAATTTTAAAATATACTTTTGAGCATAAAAAAATTTGTTTTCTATTACCTACAATATCATCCTTTAAAAATACATATTTCTATTTCATTGAGCAATTCAACTGCAAGTTTTACAAAAAAATACAGTAAGACATTTTAAATTTCAGTTTCCTCCATATTTCCTCTCTATTTATCAAATTGATGTTAGAAATGGAAAACCTTTGCATTCTCTCTGGCTATGTCTATAGACTCCCAATGTTAAAAAGTTAGTTACAACACATATCCTTATGGATGTGATTATAAATACTCCACTTCCCCAGAGATACTACTGGAAATCAGCCATTTAGTCTCTGAGATTCCCTTCTACCTTTCAATAGCCTTCTGACTGAATCACCTATTCTTGTCTCTTCAATCTATCTTCCATACAGTAGCCAGAATGATCTAAAAATGCAAATAATAACAAGAATTGAGTACTTTGTGCCAGGCAATGTGTTAAGTTCTTTATACACAAGATGTCTTTTAACCCTTATAACAACCTTGTCATTGTCATCAATTTGCAGATAATGAAATGGGCACAGATAGTTTAAGTGATTTGCCCAAGGTCATGGAAGACAGAATTAGGATTGGTACCCAGGTCTGTCTGACATCAGAGCTCATGCTCTTGGTTGTATATTCATGTTGCTGAGCTCAGTGACTTGCTAATGGTAGTGATTTTCAATATGATTATTCAGTTAGATTTGCAATATGATTATTCAGTTAGGTCACTGTTATATAATTGCAAGGCTCATTTTGGCTTAATAGGAAAACATTAGAAGCTTGATATTTTTTTTCCCTAGAAAATTAATCCTTCCTCACTTGTCTGATATTGATTCTATTTCTCCAGGGTGAAATTTTGTTGTGATTTTACATGGTAAAGTTTTGGGGCAGGGAATGGAATGATTTCATTTATGAATTCTCAGTTATTAGGATGTATGAACAGCACTGATATGTGCCCCATTCTTTGATTTTGTTTTGTTTTGTTCACTTGGTTTTGTTAAGTAACAACTGCTGGGCACTGTCAGCACAAAGACTAGGTTTTTTTCAGTCTTATTTTTCAGTCTTTCAATTATGTTTTGTTTCTTTCTCTGAGTTTTAGAAATTAAAAATCATGTCTAAATATTAATTTAAAACAAATTTCAAAAGCAGGGAGATGTGATGTCCTCTGTTTTCAAACCATTTAAAAATTCCCCCCCCCCGATCTTCACTAAACAGTATGAGAAAGCAGAAAAAACAGTTGACTAAAGCCCAAAAGGCTTGCTGTGTTTCATTAAGTCAATTGTGAAGATGAAGAGTTGGTTGGCCATTTTTTAAAATTAAAAATCTATTTTAAAAGTTGAAACTTGAGAATTCTCCAGCATCTTGTGAGTAGGCCATTTCTGATTATTCAGGACCTGGTGACTGCTTTTATAGACTATCCAGGTACTTGCTTCTTCCCCCACTTCATCTCCATGTGGTTAATTATCTTTGGTCTATAACTTATTTTATTTCTTCAGCCTCTCCCTTCTTTCTCAATATGTATTGACCTCCCATTCCATGTCATGAACTATGCTAATCATTGGGAATGAAAACAAAAATAAAGGAAGATGGATTTTTAGCTCCCCCAAATTAGTACACTGCGGTGGAAGCAGTGTTCTGAGAAATGAACCTTTTGGAGTGAGTGGAATGGTGGCATGGGACTGGGAAGGTTAGGGGAGGTGTCTTAGAAAGGTGAAGCTTGGGTGAGCCGTAAATAAGATAGAGCTCCTCCAGCAAACAAGGGCAGCAGGGACGTGATAGAGAGAATAACGTATGAAAAGCCATATAGGTGAGAGAGAGTCCAAGGAAAGATGGGGCTCATGTGATCGGGGTTGTGGAGAAGAGGCAGGGGCTAGAGAGGGAAGCAGAGGCCAGATCCTGAAGGGGCATCCATCAGTGTAATTTCTCCATCGTTCTGTGGTGGTGAATCCGGCAGTCGAAGCTCTGTTATTCTGTGTTATTACTTGTTAAGTTTAGCAGGATAGATTATAGCTATGTTTATAACTATGGATAAAGCAGGCACCATCTTCCCACATCACCCAAACATTTTCTAGTTGGCTGTCCTTGAGTATTTTAACCTTTTGAGGATCATTAGAAGCTTTAGGTCTCGTTAGTAGATAGTTTCCATGTTAGATTTCTGGTCTGGTGACACTGATCACCTCTCAGGGTCAGGTGCTCCAGGCTCACCTGGGGCCATTGGCACAAATGTGAGGAGACTACTCAGATATGTTGGACCCATTCAGCAAAAAACCTACTATTAGAAGAAAGACAATATATAAAAATCAAAGGCTTACTAAGGAGAAATAATTCAAATCCATAGTCCACTAAAACAAATATGCTTTGAACTCATCAACTTACTAAGAAGTCCTTCGTCTTGTATGAGAAAATAAATTGTCTTCCCATTGCTCTCACTCACAAACCTCCTAATTGTTTATCACACACCTTCAGGCAATTTAGATGAAGCAGCAGTGAACATAGTAAATCTACCAGCCATACCAAATTTATAAGGAAATTGGACCTCAGTGTTTGAAGTTCTTTTCTCAAATGTCATGTACTAATGATATGTTAATTCCTTCCTTCAGGCTCAGTTAGCAGAATTTCTGGAAAATTTACAAGAAAAGTCCTTGAGGATTGAAGCCTTTGTTAGTGAGATAGAATCTTTTTTTAACACCATTGAGGTAAGTTACCATATTCCTTTTACTTTAATTTGTTTATTGCATCACAAGTAAATGATTCTGAGCTAAAAGGATCTGAATTGGGGTTTGTGTGTGCATGTGTGGTTTGCCATTGTTTGCTTTGTTCCATTAAAAGTGAAGGTCTTTAAAGTCTTCCATCTGTGTATAATCAGTGAGACTACTTTCTTTCAAGAAATTTTTTTTTTGGAGAACAGTGTGTTTTTCCAGGACCCATCAGCTCCAAGTCAAGTAGTTGTCTTCAATCTGGTTGTGGAGGGCACAGCTCCTTGGCCCATGTGGGAATCGAATCGGCAACCTTGGTGATATGAGCCTGCGCTCTAACCACCTGAGCTAACCGGCCTCAATGAGACTATTTAAGGATAAATGACTTGCTCTTAAAAACACATAGATATTTATTGGGCACTTACTATGATAGGGTAACTGCTTTACATGCCTTATCCAATTTAATCTTCACAGTAATCATGAGATAGGTGTTATTATTGTTTCCATTTTATAGATAAGAAACTGAGACTTCGAGTTAAGTATATTACCCAAGTTCATAGTAAGTTTAGAGACAAGATTTGTATTCAGTTCTGAGTTCTTACTTGCTCTACCCTCCTGCCTTTTGCTGGGTTAGCTCTGTAGAAATGCTCTAAGACACTGCCCGGTGTCCCATGCCTAGGACAGATGAGTGTCTCTCACGGTACCATTGTTTTTGATGAGTTCATGCCCTCCTAGCTGCTGGCCCCTGCTCCCTCTGCAGTGAGGAGAGGGAATAGCCATGCTCCATCTGCATACAGAGATGGGCCAGGCATCCCCACTTGTCAATCAGGAATGGCAGAGGGCCCCTGCGGAAAGCTGGTGTACAGTTTCTTATCACTAGGGCAACTCCACATCCTAGTTTGCTTGTGAGAGGCCTGCTTAACTCTAGTTGTAGATCAATTAATACCTGCTAATTATTTTTAGTGCCCCTCCAAAGTATCCCTTTTAGACAGTTAATTATATGATCACCTTATCACTAGCCCTCTAGTGAGGACAGCCAGGCATCTGGATTTGTACATATGGGCAATGAAGTTTCTCCTAATGTGGCAAAGCTGCCCCTTCCCTTGGGAGCATTTATGCACATAGCACCCTTTCCAATATCCTGGCTGCTACCTCCCTCACTCTATGATTTCAGTGGAGTGGCGAAAATAGCACTAAACCCTCTCCGCTACCTGAAGGCCGTGGATCTCCATTCACGGTGATGTCATTTTCAAGTTTTGTCATGTGGGAATGCATGTGGGCAAGACTTCCATATAAATATCTTTTTTTGTGATTTTATTAACTGAATCCTTCTTGATGGTGCTCTTATAGTGAATTTTATTGCAAAGCTATCCATATCAAAGGGAGATTGGTGGGTTGAAAATTTAGACTGTGCACATAATCTGTGATTCTCTTATCAGGATGCCAGAGGTAATTCTTTAAATGGCTGGTGTTTCTTTAAAAACTAACTAAATAAAATTAAATTAAAAAAGACATGCTTTTCTCATTTCATTCAGAAGT